AACCTAAAGCAGCTGAGCAGGACGTTTAAACTGAAGCATTTTACAGGCTGATGAGAACGAGCAGGGTGAAGCGAGCCTTTCTGATGCCAGTCCGATAAAACAATCTGCCTGAATACAAAGGAGACGGGAAGCTGAGCTGGAAAGCAAATCATTAGGCATGTGCAGCATAGTAATTACAGCAGAGGCCTGCACTTACCGATCTCAGTTTCTCCCACCAGCGTGTTTACATATTCAGCAACGCCAGTGAGGCGTTTGCTTGTTTAGTTTTATCAAGAAACTAAAAGTAAAACACCCGAGGACTGGAGGTCACGAGGGTTACGCCGCTGCCTTTGATCTGCCTTTGTAGTTTGCACCTCGGGCCCTTTGTAAAAGTTCAGAAAACAAAGATTTTATTACAGTTTCTCATATCAGCCACGACACATTTCTGGAATCCATCATTTTCTCTCCATCTCTGAACACAAAACCTTTTATAGCAGAAAACCTCACAAGCCCGCCAAACAGCTTCATCTGCTCAACATCAAACAAAGAAAGCAAGCACTCGAAATAACGCCACTGAGCATTTTGCATGTCGAAATATTTAAACGGTGTATATATAGCAGCTGGTTCAGTTTAGCGTAGTGGTGAGACTACACGCCTTTGAAGCGGGAGTTGTAAGTTTGATTCCCAGCTGGGACATCTGTATCCTGTGAGGGTGCTGGGCTGGAAGACTTGGTAGTAAGCCCTAAGTGTGATTGTGATATCGGCTATGGACGGCTATGTGCGAAGATGAAGCCCAAGCTGGGCTCTTGCTAGAACCTCAAGCTCTTTATTCACAAACCAGGTGAAAATAAGTGGCAGGAAATTAATAACTAATTGTAGCTCAAGAAGTAAAGCATGGAGGATAGTTTGATTTGATTTCTAACACAGGATGCAGACAGATGTTACACACACTCCTCAGGAGTAGTTGAGGAAAAATGTGGGCAGTTTTTGTAGTATTTAGAACATTTGTCCCAGACCCAGCATTTTAATTGTAGATGAAATTGAGGCACCACCTTCATCAATTACCCTAAAAAACCCCAAAGGATGTGATTTAAATGTCTCTCTTAATGCTTTTTTTTTTTAAAAAAAAGTAAATCTTTATGGGCTTTTGTTGCTTCTATGTTCTGCTGATGTGCTCCTGCATTATGTAACAAAGCGTTGCTCCGAGCGTCGTTCACGTGTTTGGTTCGTCTCGGTGTCAGCAGCAGTTTGTGCTGAGCTGCAGAGACGAGAGGAGGGCTGTGCTCAGCCCTAAGACGAGAGATCAGCTCGAGCAAAGCGTGGCTTGTCCTGAGGCAGGAAGTGAAGAGACGGACTGAAGAGGAGGAGGAGTAAAAGACAGTTTGTGTAGGTTTAAAGAGGCAAATGTTAGGCTGCTGTGTCCTTATAATTTGCTTTAAAATTACATTTTTACATGAAAAACCCCAACAAAGCATTGGGGTTTAAAAACTTTTCTGACTCTGACCTTGTCCTTTTGTTGGAAGGAATTTAATATGGAAAAGTTCAACAAGCAAGTCATCGAAAGATCAAAATGAACCAATGAAAATGCAAAGGAAATGTTTCATTTTTAGCTCATGTGATGATCACAGCTGTGACTAAAGGTTTAGTTACCATTTCTTTCACTGGAACATCCAAACAGTCCAACTGAAGTTCAATGTTGGGATTTCTCAGACCATCTAAAGGAGATGGGGTTTACGCGCCTGGATACAGCTTCTGCAGGCATACTAACAGTGTCTTCTGATTAAATGCTGAAAATTTCCATTTTCTCATATTCAAATGGCCTCAAACAGCACAGCTGCACATGCAAAAATAACGCCATCGCTATGCCACTACCGCCGCCACCGTCTCCAACAGCCAGGCTTTTTGAGCAGGTGAGACCAGCAGCCCGATGATGATGATGTGACGAAGCAGAGGTGTAAGAAACTCCCAAATATAGAAGCCATCTCTGTGACACGAAGGCTATTTCTATCCAAATGAGTCAAACGGAGCTTCAGATATAAATTGTTGAACATAAGCGATGCAGCAGCTCGCGGCCCACATGTTCTCTACTACCGAGGAACAACAACTCTGAGACGATCAGGGCAGGTCTATAAAAATCAAAGCCTTACCTGATTTAAGTTTGGCCCGGCTCACCTTCAGGGTCACCTTCTCAGGCCTTACCGGACATTTTTAGATCATTCCCTGGAAGTCCTGTTCAGAAAGCTTTCAATGGTACATCAACACATTTGGTTGAAACTGAAGAAGCTGACATGGCTTTCATGTGGAGGATCGTCTCTGGTAACGAGAGCCCCATCTTCAGCTACAATTGAGTTGGTTTGAGCAGCTTTGCAGCCAGATTTGAGTCCGTTTGAGTTTATCTTCTTCCCGAAAATGAAAATCAAGCCCATCGCAAGTTAACTAGTGATGGCAACGGGGCTTCTGAGACATCTAAAATAGCAGCCACGCTAAGAAACCACAAACAGAGGCCACCAGATTTGACCCAGCCTTACGATGCAAGCTCAACTTTTGGATTTGGTTATCTGGCGTCAATTTAACATCTGGAGTCAGGCTAAGCAGTCATAGAAAGGTGGTTATTATCTTGACAAGCAGAGTGTGTTCACATGAAAGCAACCACACCAGCAGCATCTGACCAATCAGACACATGGACAGTAGGGCTGCCACGATTAGTTGACTAGTCACGATTACGTCGACTATCAAAATCGTCGACGACTGATTTAATAGTCGACGCGTCGTTTGAAGCTTTGTAAGATCACAAAAGACGCAGGAATAAGTAGTAGGATTTAAGAGTGTAATAACGGACTGAAACAGAAGATGGCAGCACTGAATGTACAAGGATGCCAGCTGCCGTTAAACCCCGAAGAAGAAGCTGTGTCCCAGAATTCATAGCGTGGCCCAGCTCAGTTTCCAACAATGGCGGCAGCTAGTTAGTTTTAATATTACTCTTATCATGCTTTCTGGGTCACAAAATAAACGTTTAACATATTTTCAGGCGAGAATGTAGCTGTGTAAACCTCAAATATCTGCTCAGTTTATTAAGACACCACATATTTTCAAAAGCGCTCCGACGTTTTCGGAGACGTCTGTTACCCACTAGCTCGATAGCTAGCCGGGGGCTAGGCTCACTAGAGCCGTGAGGACACCGAAATCGTTTTCAAACCCACCCAAACCCTTTCGCTACTCAGGTTAAACATATATAAGTCACTTAGATAACTTAAAATGTTATTGTTTGGCTTTTTTCAGTATTTTATTTGTTCCTGAGTAAATCGGTTTGGCCGAGATTAAAGTTATAGTTTTTACACAGCTGAATAAACGTCAAGCAGACAGCTGATTATCAGAAGTGTGAGATGCTCGAGAATTTACTCCGGTGTCCTGTTATATTTTCGATAGCAAGGAGTTTATTAAACTTCACCGAAACAATCTGCAAATTTCATTAAAAATTAAACAATCATCTTGTCTTTAAGTGTTTTAGGTATGTGCTAACTAAAAATAAAGCTGTAAGCTAATGATAGTTATATAAGAGCAGATGCTGCTGGTGCGATAAGCTGTATGTTTTATGCTCAATGGATGATGATCTGATTAGTCGACTAATCGCAAAAATAATCTGTGACTAGTTGACTATCAAAACAATCGTTTGTGGCAGCCCTAATGAACAGGTAGCAGCAGAGCCACTGATCAGCACTTCAGACTGTGTGTAAAAACTAGTCCTGCCTTCACGCTAACGCCCACAAAGAAAAAGAAAGATGTTACAATAAAGAAGTTAACATTACTGAAATTAAACTCACGTCTTACTTATTGGTTACAAATACTTTGAAGACTTGCAGCGAAATAATCTCCTACGATAGTCTTCTATTAAAGAGAGTTTGTCTAATTTGGATAAGAGTTTCTGGTCGTTAAACTTCAGATACCAGCAGCAGGATGTGTTCAGTTGTTTATCAGCAGAAAGACTTAAAGTCTGAGAATAAAACTCTTCAGATGGTAATTTGCCGAACTCACTACCTGCCCTGCAGCATCGACCATTTTGCTCCTGTGTGGGAGCAGGAATGAAATTTCGGCATGAACAACATTAATAAACTTGGCGAAGCTCAAAATCATGCATTTCCAGTTCAAAACACAGACGAGGCTTCAGTTTAACAGACTTTTATTATATAACTTTAACGATTTAGTAATTAATTAAGAGGAAGTGCAGGCATGAAACCAAACGGACCGTTTCCTTAAAAGCTTTTTAAACATTTCAGTCCAGTAACAACAAACACAGACGGACAGTCAAAGCTGCACTAGGCCACTCCAGCACTGCTAAAGGGTCCATTCACCCAAATCACAACTGATTATTATTAATTTTAATATTATTGATAATGATAATTATATTATTATCATTGTTGAGGACAATGCATAGACCCTGGCAAAAGTTAAATCACATTTTTGATTTTTTTTACCCATTCGCTGAACTTTAATCAAAATTTCTCTTAGATTTTAAAAATTTGTTTTATATTTTAAAACTGTTTATTTTCATAGCTGCTTAATATAGCTTCCATTGTATTGCAAAGGCTGAATACAACAGCTGAAATAAACTGCAACTGCCCTTTAGCTTTCCAAATTCCTCATCATACAAACCACTGAACTGTTTTTTGTCTGGGCTCAGCATCGGTGGTATAGAGTTAGTTATAGGAATACAAACATTTCCAAATATTTTTCCTGGAATTTAAAAAAAATTCTTGTGCTCACCAGAGACGTTTTGGCCAAAATTAAAATCACCAGGACTGACAAAACTATTCAAACCAATTTTTAAAGGTGAAGTTTCTCACACTTAAGACACAAAACACTTTTGTTTATCACCTAGCCTTAAATAACAGGAAATTGATAGAAGTCAGCCCTGACTAACTGCTGTTTACTGGGCTACAGAGCCCGACTGATTCATCAATAGGCTGACAAATAGTTATTTTTAAAAGTAAAAAAGAAATTAAAAAACAAAACAACACTGCTCACCCTTGTGCAGTGTGTGAATGGGTGGGTGACTGGATGTGTAAAGCGCTTTGGGGTCCTTAGGGACTAGTAAAGCGCTTTACAAATACAGGCCATTTACCATTTGTTATGAGTGTTGATGTTGCATAGTTTGTCCACCAGAGGGCACTCTGCAACACGTGTTTGGAAAGCTACAAAGAACCAGCTGATCCAAACAAAGCCAGGTGGAGTGACTGAGGTAATAACTAAACAAATTTGATGACTTAATTTAAAAAAAATAAGTTGTATGACTACTTTTGCCAGCAGGTGGCGCTAATGAATTGATAGTTGAAAAAAAAAAAAAGACCTTAAAAAAAGGACTATTGAAAGTTGATGATAATTAAGGGGCTGGCAAGAAAGCAATAAAAGAGTTGGGAAAAAAATGTTCACACTTAAGTCAGAAAAAAATACAAACTTTAGGAATTTAAGTGTAAATTTCTTCCCAAATATACAATAAAATGAGATATGATGTCATTCTTAGATTAAAGGGAATTGCAAGTTTCTGCCTTGCAAAATTCACATAAATCACAAATCTTCCATCTGCATTTCTGATTAAACTAATTTTTGGGGTGTAAATTTACTTTATTTACCTTTACTACCATAAATATTGTAGATTTTTTAAAATTAATTTATTAATCGGGTGTTTTTTCACTTGCAAGGGTTTTTGCCTTTTGTAAAACTCGTAGCATTAAAAGTAAAATCACCCACTTCAGCTATGCATTTAATCCACCCCTTCAGTGGTAATAATATCCTATCATGTATCCCAGAAGCTTTAC